GTTCGGATCCCACATATGAGGGCCAGTGACACTGCCCTCCACAGCTAAGATGCTGAACAACAGCTCAACCTGGAGCTGGGCTGCCATGAGTTGCCTGCGAAGGCATAGGCTGCAGCCCCTGCTGCAGTGGGTTGCCATGGGCTACCGTGTATAGCTAGCAGCCAGCGTGAGCGGCCATCAGCCGCAGTGAGCGGCCGTCCAGAAGCCGGCGACTGATGTGCCTCACCCGGGAAGAGCGCAATGATGGTGCCAACTGGGGCCAGTGAAGCAATGTCCTCCACAGCTAGACTGAAGAACAAAAGGACAGCAACTTGTCTGTTCCCCTTCCCCAATTCCCCAGCGCTGTTCCCCTCCCCCGATTCCCCAATAAAAACCTTTTAAAAAAAATCTGTAGAGTTTATATTTGTCCCTCACATTTAATCATAGATACTTAGGAGAGGAACCACTTGGTGGGCACTAGTGTTTGGTTAATTTGAATTTCAGTTAGGTGGTGTTGTGAAAACATTACATGGTTTCACTCATGTTCTCACAGGGTGACGAGGCTGTGTACGGAGAAGAGATGAGACGGGAGACAGGAAGGAGGTGGGAAGGCACTTTCCATGCCACAAGAGTGAGGTGGCGGGAGGTCTGTGTCAGGAGAGCTGACAAGACCACTAGGGAGCCCAATGTCAGGTGAGAGAAGAAGAGGCCAACACAGCCCCGCGAGTCTGGCCTGAGCCTGCAGAGCAGCCCTGAGGTGGGGAAGCCCTCTCCCACAGAGCTATGAAATCTCTGTGCCAGGCACCCTTCAGGTTAGAACAGGAGTGAAACCAGGCCCTCCAGGCTCGCCGCGCCCGCCCTCTCTTCCTCCCTCCCCTGGCCTCCTGCTCCAGTGCCTTTGTGCTTGCTCTCTAGAATGTGTGGCCTCTGCCAGCCAGCCAGCACTCCAGGTGTCTCCTGGAGGAGGAGGTCCGCTGGCCACCCTTAACCTTTCCTGCTCTGGTTTTCTTCTCAGTTCCCAACGTCTGGTGTTCTGTGTTCTCTACTTTGTCTTTGGCAAGGATGTTAGCTCCCAGGACAGGGAGCTTTGTTTTATTGACCACTGTGTCCCCAGGGCCTGGACCAGTGCCTTGGCACATGGTGGGCTCCCAGGAAATGCTGGCTGGCTGGCTGGCTGGCTGGCGGATGGATGGATGGATGGACAGATGGATGGACAGACCATTGCATGGGAACTGGATGCTGTCAAGTCATTCTGGCTCTTTCTGCTTGGGGGCTCTTGTAACCTTGGAGCCCAGCATCTCCACGCTGGGTAAAGAGGCGCCTGGAAAGGTGCGACGGCCGTGGCTGTTCTGCCAGTAGTGCGGGCTGTTTTCTAGAACTATGGACAAAAAGTGACTTTACGAGGATTGAGTCAGCATGGTTTTGAAATTGTTTGGCATAATTTAGACATGTTGGATCTGTTGGGACAGAGCGACAGCTTCTCCCATGCGATTCTGTGGTTTGAGGAGCAGCCTGGAGCTTTCAAGAATAGCACTGGGACGTAGTACTCGGCTCCCTCCCCTCACTTCCCAGATGTTCAGATGGCTGCTGAGCTGGGTTTGGTTAAAGCCTCGGAACCCTGTGGCTGTGGGTGTGATGGAGGTGAGCAGTTTGGGTCAGTGTTTCTAAGAGCAGGTGAGAATATACGTGCCAGTCCTCCTTTGGTGTTAGTGCTGCTGTCATTCATTCTTTTAGTCATTTCTGCATATATTCACTCAGTGCCTGTAAGCACCTGATACCTGCCAGGCACTCTGGAATTTGGAGCAGAGCCAGGAGCCCGTTTGAGAGTGCTATTGTGCCAGTGCACACCTGTAGTCCAGTTGACGAGCACAGCCGAGGGCGTGTGTGAGCCTTGGTGCAGGAGGGGGAGAGAGCTGTTGGAAGGGCCGAGGGGAAGAGTGTGTGGGTGCAACTGCAGATGCGGAATGCTCGGAAGACCCAGCCACAGCAGCCAGGCACAGGTTCTGGTCCGCCTTCCAGCTGATGGGTACCGTGCAGGGGCACTCAGACGGTGAGAGGTCTGGGGGGCTCTGTCACCCCAATCCGATCCCACATGTGCTCTGGCTTGGATCCTTGGGAGAGCAGTGCGTGCCTCTGGAAGGCCATACCTGGCTTCCCTGCTCACCTGTTGCCCAGGTGTGCAAATGACCCATCTTGGGCTCATGCTGATTTGGGTTAAAATCTGGGCCTCTGCTTGCTGACCTTGTGACTTTAGACCTGTTTTAAATCTAGGAGCCTATTTGTGTGTTTTACAGCTAATTTTATTTTTCTGCTAGGGCAGTTGATACCCCTTTGGAGAGGATCTAGGGTAATAACCTTCCTCCTCCTCCTGCCTCGGAGGCTCTCACCCGCAGCCTCTAGTTTAGAACCTATTGGAAAAAGTGGACGTTGAAATTGGGTAGCTAGAGAGCACTTTGGCATAATTGCTGCTGAGCTGGAAGAGAAGCTGATCTTGGGGTGTAGCCCCTGCAGGCCCCCAGTGTCTCTCCAGACTCCACAGCTTGGGCGGCCCACCTCGGAGGTGGTTCGAGCCACAGACACACTGAAGCCAGAATTGCCCCCCCCCCCCCCCCGTTGGGGCCTGAGCGCTGATGGGCAGATGTACCTACAATAGGGCTTCAGACCCTGCTGATAGCCGGGCCTCCTGGGACTTCCTCAGGTTGCAGATTGGGAGTGACACTTTTCCACAGAGGGAGGCAGTACAGAGGTCTGAGGTCTGGGCGCAAGGGTTGGTTGGACAGCTTTCTAACTCCTACTGAAACGTTCTTTATATGGCATTACTGTTTCATTTGAAGTAGTATGAGTTTCTAGAATGCTAGGTACAGTTTTATTCAACAATTCCCTGTGTGATGTTTCTCTATGTAAACATATGTGCGCATTGGAATCTTAGAACTGTGCATATTTTCTAGTGATCTTGGCTTGGTGGGTCATGTTTTGAAAATGTACATTGTTTTCTGTTCCAGACTCCTTTTAACTTTGGCGTGAATCACAGGACACCACCTTACCCCGCCGGGGATTACTGCCTTCTGTGCAGAAGCGAGCGGAAAGACTCTTCATTCTCAGAGAGTGGGATTAAGGCTGCGAGCAGACTGGCCCTTTCCACGGCCCCCAAGGGCAACAGCGTGCTGCACCTGCCACTGTGGGTGTGCCCGGACTGCCGGCGGGCTGTGGAGAAAGAGGGGGGACCCGGAGGCCCGGACCAGCCCGCGGTGAGTGCCCTGCGCAGAGCGCACACCGTCTCCTGCCCCCGCGGGCAGTGCAGGCGTTCATCTGGAAGGAGCCCCCTCCTGTGCCGTCTTCTGCCCTTCCTGGCCACACTGGTAGTAGGCAGTAGACCTGCCCTCCTTGGTCAGACAGCTCAGTCAGCTGGGGCTGGGGGCAAAGGGTGTTTTTTGGCTTTTTAGTCTGGTCTCAGGATTTCTTGGGTGAAGCAGTTTGCTGAAGAGCTGGGAGACTTTTTATCTGTTTAGTTCTGGACAGTTCCATGTGCTGGTAACTCACCTGAAATTCTTTCCCGGATGCAATTTTCAAGTCTGGGTTTCCCCCCTTTTCCTTGATTTCACGCCTCGGCTGAATGGAGCCGTTCTTGGGGCCCAGGCCTGTGTGGGAAGGCCACATCCTTGTTCTGATGTTCGGCCCGGGCTTAGTGGTCCTGGTTCTGAAAGGGCTTTCAAATCTGCTCTTTGGCTTCAGAAAGGAGTTGACTATGCAGCCATCAGAGGGCCCATCTCCTCAGGCTTCTCTGCCCTTTGATCTGCCTGCAGGCAGCTGTTTCTGAGCTGTCCTTTGGTTAAGGAGCCCGTTTTCTGACCTGGGACTGCTTTCCAGCTCAGTCTCTGGGAAGGTTTGGCGAGTGCTCCATGCTATGGTGGGAGTCTTCCTGGCCTCTCCCGTCTCGTCTGTCTCCTTGCTGCCTGCCACTTAGCCAGGACTTCTGTTTTAGGGTTTCCTTCAAGGCAGCACCCCAACTCACGTGCAGTGTCTGTAGTTGTGCTTAAGTAGCTAAACCTCTGACTCAGGTGGATTTCTCACCCGCCCCCCCCCTCCCCCATATCCCTCTGCTGGCTGCATTTGCCTGCGTAGTGCCTCCTCCTAATGTCCTGTTGGTTCTTTTTGTCGGTTTCTTCTTCACTGGATTATATAGTCCATGAGGGCAGCTATTTTTGTGTAGTATTTTCTTACCAAGAACAGTGCCTAGCCTCGCATATTTTAGGTGCCCAAAATAATGAATTAATAAATAATGAATGAACAAAGAAATGAATAGACCATGGAGTGCCCTCATTAGGGATTAAGAAGATGGCATAATTAGCCTGAACATTTTACTTTGTTTCCTTTCTGTGTCCACTTAAAAGTGTTTGGTCTTTCCCCATTTTTTAATGGAAGACTGTTTAGGATTGGTTAAGCCTGACTGTGCCTTTGGGAAAGGGTTGCTGTGTTAGTTCTTCCTGGGTTTGAAGGAGGTGGACTACCTGGGATTTCCATGGGGGAGTCTCACTTCTTGACTCCCAGTTTGTCCTGGAGAAGGGATTATCAAATGAGCCTTGCTCTCCTCGTCCAAAAAAGTGACCCCAGGGACCACAGAGGTGTCTCGTTGGCCAGTGTTCTGCTACTTGTATAAAGTTGGCCTCCTTTGTTCAAGCTGGTTAAAATCACTGGCTTTTAAAAAAATGAGATATAATTTATATGTGGCAAAATCCACCCTTTGAAAGTGTATCTATTCAGTGAGCTTTGACAAATTTGTACAGTTGTGTGACCACCACTACTCCACAGGCTCCCTTGTAACTACTGACCTGATTCCTGTCCCCACAGCCTTGCTTTTTCCCGCATCACATGGGTCCCTCTCATGTGGTATCATGTCTTTGAGAGCCGTGCGTCAGTGGTCTGTTGCTGGTTGTTGCTGAGTAAATTGTAGACACGCACCACAGTTTTTCTCGCTCACCATTGATGGACGTGGGTTGTCTCCAGATGTGGACTGTTGCTCTGGCTACGTGCCCGCACCCCGAGATGGTGCGAACCTCTCCTTCTCTCTCCCTCCCTCCCCACTGCTCACTTCAGAGAAGCTCCCAGTGCAGGGCCAGGGAGGCCCACCTCACCGGGCTTCAGATGCCCGCCCATTGTCATCCTCGCCATGGCTTGGTTGCTATGGTCACTTCTTTCCTCTGATGCGTCACAAACCTTTCCTCCTGTCCCGGCTCCTGCCCAGGAGAGTGCAAAGGCTCTGGACTTGTCCGCATTTGAGGCAGCCCACCTTTGACCTCGCCCTCCCTCCCCCAGTCGCCGTCTCCTGCTCTCTTCACAGCTGTGCGTGTGTCTGGGCGAATCTTAAACTTCTGATCTAATTTATTTCATGAATGAGGGTTTTTCCATTTATTTTCAAGTTAGTTTTGGTAAATTATATTTCTTAGAAGCTGTCAGAGTTCCTGGTATGCAGTTGTGTGTTGGTGGTCTCTTTCCGTTTCTTACCATATCTACAGGTGCAGCTCTTCTTCTTTGTCAGATTTGTGCTTTTGTTCTTTTTTTTAACCAGTCTTACTAGAAGTCTGTCAGTTTTTTCTTTTCAAAGAAGGGCTTTTTAATTTTTAAAGTGTGTCTCTTTTCACTTTGTTTCATGAATTGCTACTGTGTCATATTTGTGTGGTACATGCTTGATGAGTTATGCTGTGGGACATATGACAAGAGTTGAACAGCACACACAAGAGCAGGGTCACTGTCCCTCTCACCTCCTCACCATCCTCTTCATTTCTCCAGAGGCAGAGGCGTCCGCTGTGGCCAGATCCTTGTCTGCTCCTCTGGAGATGCTCGGTTCTGTTCTGTGTGTTGACAGGTGGTAAAGTCCCAAATTCCAGACATCAGTCAGTGAGTGGCGACGTGTGGCTCTCCCAGCTTCTTTCTTGTTCTTGCAGAGGGGCACAATGCCACACTAGGTGGCTGCACGTCGGTGGGCATGCTCTCCAGTTTCTGGGCCTCTCCTGAGGGCTGCCAACAGGTGTCTGGGAGCCTGAGCTTAGGTGCCAGCTGCTTCGGGGAGCTGCACTCCATGCTGGTCTCGCCTGGAGACCTGTGGGAACCTGAGCCTTGCTCAGCCTGCCTGCTTGGAGGGTGGGAGGGGAGACAGCCCTGTCCACGCGCTGATGCCGGGCGGCCTGACACAGCCACCAGGGCCTGCATCACACAGGCCTGTGGACTGGGCCGCAAACACAATGTTTTCTTCTTTCTCTGGTTCCACCCCAGTTTTTCTTCTCTGATGTGTGCCGGAAACCTCGAATTACTGCTCTGGATTTTGAAATGTTTGTTGTATCGGCAGTTTGAAATATTATCCAGTTTTCAATATTTCTGTTTTCAGCCATGAATTGTTCAGAAGTATTCGTAACTATCCACATTTATTCTCTCTTGAATTACCTTTAATCGTACTCACTTTAAATTTAATGCTGGTATAGTTGAAAGTGGTGGTCTACAGTCACTTATGCTAATACATGGTTAAGTTTTTCTAAATGTTCTGTGTGTGCCTAAAAGCATCTTCTCAGGGTTTAGATTTTCACTTGTTCATTGTGCTCTTAAGTCCTGTGTTCTTAACTAATTTTTTGTGTGCTTAATCTATCAATTTCTGAGTCAGATCAGTTAAAATCTACTACACCTATATCATTTGTCCTTTTTTGCTTGTAAATATTTCCAATTTTTGCTTTACATGTTTTAAGGCTGTACTGGGTGAGTGCAGGTTGAGATAATTAAATCTTGGTGCATTGTTCCTTTTTTGCACCAAAATCATCTGTGGTGGCCCCTTTCTCCTAAGGGCTGTTTGTTTGCACTTTGTATAGCATGCGGGCATCCGCCCTCTCCTTTCACGTCCTCTTTTCAGCCTCTGGGTGTGACATGTGTGTTAGGTGGTCTTGTGCAGCCCGCTGAGAGACAGGCTTAACGTGGCCTCATTGGAGAGTCAACTTCTTAATAGTGAAATTGACCCTTGTCACTGACTGGGCTTGCTGGTCTGTTTGGGTTTGTTTCTGCTCCCACGGGTCACAAGTCCAGCGTTGCCCTGAGCCCATCCCCTCCCCTTCTCCCCTCCTCCCCAGAGCTCACACTCCTGACGCTTGCTTGTTCTTGTTCTCCTGCCCTTGTGTGAGAGCCCTACACCTCCATCCCTAAACACTGTCATGTGGCTTTCCTGGCGTTTTGAACTTTGTAAAAATATCAGCACAGTATGTGTCATTTTGTCTGATTTATTTTGTTCAGCGTTATGTTTGAGATTCATAAGTGTTGTGATTTCTTCACTCTCATCACTGTATCGGCTCGCCCTTTTGAATGTACTGCATTGTAGCTGTTCTCAGGTCGTGCTGTCAGGAATGGTGTGCGTGGAGCAGACGCTCACACGCTCCATGGGTCACCCACATGGGAAAGGAACTGCTGAGTTAGAGGGACTTGATGGCATTAGGTGACTACCTTCCAGCACACGCTGGTCATTTGGGAAATAGTGGTTTACCGAGTTAGGCAGATCTTCTAGATGCTGACACCTTTCAAATAAAAACTGATATTTGTTATGGTCACCACCAGTCTCATCAGAAGAGTCTTAAATGTGGAGAAGCTTTTGAACCCACAGTGATGGATACAAGTTTTCCAAACTTCTCATTTTTGCTTGGAAGCTCAAATTTGATGATTGGCCACAAATCGTGGCAGCTGTTTTCCTTGAAGTGACAGGCTCATTTCATTGGTTTTTCATTCCAAGTCTGAATACCCTCGTCTGGTCTGTCAGGCGTTCTTTCAAGTTGGTGATGTTTCATGGGCGAGTGGCTCATTCAGCACACGGCGCCCAGCGCTTTCCTTGGGGACAGTCACTGCAGAAGTGCTTTCTGCAGACTGTGTGCGTTAGCACACAGAAAATCCAGAAGACATGTGCTTAAGGGCTGCGATTGAACGCAGCAAATGATTTTACTGCCTAAGGACATTCCTGAGTGCATGCTGGTGAAGGATGCAGCACAAGTATACTTCGTTGCACGGGATCCATTCTTGCCAAGGTGCCGGCGCTTTCACTCACCATTGCATGGTGCAAATGTCAACACAGTGAAAAGGGCAAAGAACGTCTTACATTAACATGGAAATAGTTTGGACTTGGGGACCTGCTGCAGAGGCCGTCAGGACTCCCAGCATCCATGGCCACATTGAGAACTGCTGTTGGGCTGGTTATTTGTCTTGCTCTTCTGACATGTGGGGCTCT